ATGTGGCCTTCTTCTGGGATCTTGATTTATATTTAAACTTACTGTAGAAAAATAGGGACCACTTTGATGGGAAGGTAACAACATTCCTGCGCTTTTGGTATTTAGTTATGCCAGCCACATGACCATAGAGACATTTTCGGACAGCATTGGCTCTTCGTCTTTGAAATGGATATGAGCACTGCCCCCTAGAATTGGAAATGACTAGCACATATGTGTGAGGGGAACCTTTACCTTTACACACATCTACATTATTCTTATACAGTAAGTTTAAATATAAATCAAGATCCCAGAAGAAGGCCACATGCACAGAAGGTCCACAAATTTGCCCACTCTAATATATGGTGGTTCCTGGCCAGCATATAAGGTTATTCACTTTATATTGCACTTATTCTGCAAGATTTAGTTTAAAATACAAAATGAATCTTTTCTAATACTTGCCCTAATTGTGTGTTCATTGTATCTGAATCTTAAAACAACATCCTGGAATTTGTTACACAACTCTCCTGAATTATTTCAGTATATATGAAGAAGTTCTTCAAACAAGTGCCTGGCCTTAGAGCATTAATGGTAATTCAAGGAGAAAGGGTGATGGTTAGTCAAACAGACTGTTTATTATCATAATTGCTATATTCTCCTGGTTACTTCTTTTCAGCAGAAGACCCAAAGTTAGAAGAATATTGAATAGTACTTTTGGTCAGTGAGGTACCGTCCCTATAAACGTCTTCCTTTGTGGTGTGTGTTAACTTCTGGGTAAACTTTCAATAACTGTAAACCCATATAAATCAGTTTGAACACATTTCCACTGCTTTGTAAAATCACATGTACACATTGTATTGTTATTTGCAAAAGGAAAAGAAAATTTAAGTTATGACACAATGCTCAATAACTGCATGATTTTAAAATACCCCATGCAGAGAGAATAGAGTCCAAATTAAACAATTGGGCAATAGACTGGCATCAGTCTACAAATGACACAATAGAATCAGAATTTAATAAATAAAAACACAATCAGAAAACATTGTTATTAAACAATTCTAAGGAAAAGCCCTGGGCATAAAGATGTGTCAAGAATTGTGTGGTATAATGCACCTGAAGGGATTAAAGAAGTACAGTATTTGTGTGACCCTGACTGTTTCAAAAAGTTAAGCTAGGCCAGTCCATGTTGGCACCTATAAATTCCATGACAATACGCTACAACCTTTTTTAAAAAAATCAACCCGGATAATACTCTAACAAACTGCATCCATATTATGGCCAAGAAAACTTTATATCATGATGAGGATCTAGGCTGGAGTCAAGATAGTCTTTCTCGACACAAAGAGATCAGCAAGCTATTAAAAGCAGATAGTAAACAATACATACATANAGAGAAATTTCCCGCTCCAAATGAGGAGCAGAATGAGAACTTCAATTGACAACTATACACTATATACAATACATAACACTAAGAGGCTCATATAAATCACTGTGACCATACACTTTTTATGTAATGAAACAACTAAGTGAAACTATTTACTATTATCCTTTTCTGAACTACATTTATTCTGTTTTACCTAGACCTCATATAGCCACAATATCATTTAGTTCTGTAATCTCTGGTGCCCTATACAATTACAAATGATATCATTCAGCTATCTTTGATGGGGTAAATTGAATAAACTTGTAAACAGATTCATATCTTCACTACTGCTAAATGAATGAAGAATAAGGTCAATAGACGTCAAATAAGTAAGAAAAATAACAATGATAATAAAGGATTGTAAGTGAAGTAAAACAAATTACAAATAGTAAGACAAAAGTAAATAGTTGGGGGAAATTTTTTTAGAGAATATAATCAGCTCTAAGTAGTATGCTATACATTTTTTTAAATGAAAGAATAATGTAACAGCACTGTAATTTGAGAGTCAGTCACATAACAAACCCACAACTGACAATAATTCAGCCAGGAATGTATCATGTGGCCTCTATCTAAGTTGCTAATGCTGTTGTTTGTATGCTGATGTAGATAAAGTGCTATTTCAACATATTTGTTCACATAGTTTCTATGATGCTTTGAAGCTGATTTTTTATTATGTTGGGATTAAATAAAAATGGCTAGATTAAATGGGAATTGTCATAATTCATGAGGAAATGTTATATACATATTTTAATATGTTTATGCCACAAGCAAGTTCCTAAAATTATGTTCGCAAAAAAGAGATTTTGTTATTAAATATATGATGATTACACATTACACAGAGAAATAGCACTGGCAGATGAGAAAAGTAGATTATGTTTTAATGGAAAGTTTAAAAGCTTCTGTATTTGCAGAGATATTTACAATAAAATGAAAGAAATTTTGTTATTTCTATAGAGCAATTCTCTTTTTACATAAATTTGTAAAATTTATTTAAATTAAAGTTATAAAGAACGGCCTTCTTTTCTCATCTGCAGTTATTAATTTATTATTTCTTCAGAGTATTTTTCTTATATCATTTGTCCATACAAGCACAGCATTGCTTCTTTGTAGCTGTCCCATTTTCTTTTTTGCTGTTGTTGGGAATCATATTCTATTGAGCAAAATAAAACAATTCATTCCATTACATTTTATTCACTCATTTATAAAATTATTTTTTCTGGCCCTTGAATATTTGTGAAATGTCCAATGTGGCCCTCAAACTGAAAGATTTGGAGACCTATGCCATAGAGCATAATGTAGGTCAGTTAATATAGCCTGGTCGCTAAGAAAACTGTATGGGGGAGCACTGATCAGATTTGCCTGAGTATGGATAGTTGGATTGAACTGATTCAAGGCATTTAACTCAATTTAGATAATGAGATTACTCTAATATGTCAAACCTCACCATCTCAGGTTCCTTTTCCCACAATTCCCTCAATTCAAGAATGTTTGAAGTAAAAAAAAAAACAAAGTTTGTGACAATACACAATAAATTTATATTCTGCTTTTAGCAAAGATATACACAATGTCATTCATTTTTGTCAGATTGAAAATTTATATTTATTGTTATTGTCTAGATTTTATACAGTGCGCTACAGAGAAAAGGACAAGAAAGACAAATGGATCCTGCAGCTTTGTCCAACTACAGAAACAGTGGTGGATAATTTGAAACCCAACACTATTTATGAATTTGGGGTGAAAGACAATACAGATGATGGGATATGGAATAAGAGTTTCATTTACAAAATGGTTATACCTGGTAAGTAATTTGTAATGGTTTCAAACTTTTACTGCTTAAAAATCCAGATTTGTTTACTTATTGACTGGATTTTAACCTGTCTTATTCCAAAAAGAATCTATGAGAGTAATGATTTTTAAAAGAACGCATAATTTAAAAGAGGAACATAACCACATAACATAACCACACATGAATAACACCCAGACTAGATAAACTATCTTCATAGTATCTGACTGTCCAATTGAATATGGCATAGTTAGTATGCTCTAAATTCTTTAAATTAAGCTGGAAGCATGCCTTCTAGGTTTAGGTTACACCATGATTTGCATGGCCATGACCCTGCTGTTGTAAGAACGGTTTTGAAGAGCTGGTCCTTTTCCCAGTCCTTCAGCAAGATTGAATGAAATACTCTTGGATTTTTTCCCCTTTCCCATTCCAGTCTGGTTTCAGTCACTTAAGAGTATCAATTCTGTTGTATTTCCCCCATGTCATAGGACTATTATTGATCTTTCCTACAGTTCTTCAAGAAAACTGTTTCTAATAAAACAAATGAAAAAAGAACTAAAGTGAAATTAGTGAAGTACATAAAAGATTCATTAGTATAACTAAACCTATTGTGCCAAATATGCCCATTCCTGTTTATGTAAAATATTGTTACATTCCTTGTTTTAGGGTAATATAACATGCTATTGAAAGGACTGAGCTTGAAAATGGTTAAATGTTTAGTTTAGATGAACCCAGGCAATTGATTTTGAAAGCATAAAAGAGAAACATCTTGTTTCTTCAGTTAATAATAGCCTATTTCTAAACATGTATGTATAGTACTAGTTATAGTTTAAAAGCTGCATAAAACCTAGGCCAAGGCTATTTGAATTTTTGGATCTTTTTTTCATTTGGCCCTATTCAAGTTACAATCTTTAGGAAGTCCTTTCCATTCTGCTAGTACCAGGAATATGGTCAGCAGGAAGATGAGAGTAGATCTTCTTACAATGACTAAGCCTAGATTTTGAAACATATTGCTGTAGGAGTACAGAACAGCCAAACAATAATTGTAAATACAATTTTATGCCAATAGCTTTTGACATCTTATTTGATCTGCAATTGACATTAGTTGTATGAGATTATTTTTTATTTGTGTTTGTTTTGATTAAATAGTATATAAAATATACTATTTTGTATGCTTATAGAATTGTCTTTAGGGGAATGCAATAAAGTAAAATATGAATATTTACTCATAAATATTATCCACTACAGAAATCAGCTGGAGTTTAAATATAGCTGGAGGAATAGGGCAATACATTCATTAAAATATCATTAACTGTGATATAAAAATGGGAATAGTATGAGATCACATTACATTTGGTATTACAAAATTAGTGCGTTTATGTATTTTTATATGACTATTGGAGGGTTTTTACATATATACATATATATTTATGTCAGGTAAAAACAAAGAAAATGGAGAACTTCAGAACAACTACAAGTTGCCTAAAATCCAAACACAGGTATGCAATGAAAATTAGTTTTATATTTATTATTGGCATATTTTCTATGCAGGAAAATTGCCTGCCCATTATGGCTGAAAGTTGGGATAAATGTTAAATGAACTTCAAATAGTTGTTAAATGACCAGTAGCTCAAGTTCTTCCTGTACAATATATCAAATATGAATCTAATTTTTTTCCTTTATAAAATTTAATAAATATATAAATAGTGCTAACCCTAACCCTAACCCTAACCCTACCCTGTTCAGGGAACCTACAAATGCTACTCACTTTTCACATCAGAACTATATTCCATCCAATTATAGATCAAGGTGAAGATAAATTGGATTTAATTGTCTTGTTTGTATTTTATATTAAATCCATTTTTGAATATGTGAATTATTCAAGAAGATTTTTAGAGCTTAAATGCTAAGATTATAATTATTTTACCTTTGATATGTACAAGATTATGATTTTTTCCTTTGCTTATTTTTGTTTTTCTGAGTGCACACTAGTATCTATTTTAATTCACAAGTAAATTACTTTTTTAACACTTATTTTAATTTTCATCATAAATAAGGTACACCATTACAATATTTTAATATGAAGACATGCAGACAGTATTAAGCTATAAGCATCTCCACTTCTGCTTATACACTTCAACATTTACTTTTAGATTACTATGTATTTAATGCTGTTGGAGATCGTTGAAAGTACCACCTTGGAAATGTCTGACTCTTCAGTGTCCTGGTTCAGACTGAACAAACACACCAACTCTATTTACAAGTGGTTTATTGACAAATAGTATTCCAGTTAATTACAAAAGCAACTACGCCATTGGCTATGCAGACACATATATGCCTTGAAAAATATAGTTTAGAATTTAGTCCCAAGTCAAGACATAGGAGAGCTCAGATTCAGGGAAGTGGAGCATAGCCATGACAGAGAAGGAAATGTGATCCACAACAGTCCAGGAGTCTAATCCCAGAAAAATTAGTCAGCTGACCCACGTCAAGGAGCCACGAGTTAAGGAGCAAAACAGGAAGATTGAACACAGGAACACAGATCTGAGATTGGTGAGTTGTTTCCAACATATGATTTCCAGATAAATGGAAGTTGTTTTTAAACAGGCCAAATAGATATATGGCTCAATTATGGTCACTGGCATCTTCTCAAGGAGGCAAGATCACATCATCTTCTCAAGGAGGCAAGATCACATCATAAAAGTTAATATGAAGCTATCCAGAATCTTCTAAATGGGAAATTCTAACTGTTCCATTTATTTAGATACCTTTATGACTGCTATATGGATTTTTAAATTTTTATTTTATTTTATTTCATCAAGCATGAATTAGATAACAGATATAAGTATAGACATGATTATGAATACATTAAATACAAATACAAATAGAAGGGAATATTAGGACAGGGACAGTATGCATGGTGGTGCGCTTATGCATGCCCCTTAAAGACCTCTTAGGAATGGGGTTTTCTTTCTTTCTTTCTTTCTTTCTTTCTTTCTTTCTTTCTTTCTTTCTTTCTTTCTTCCATTTCTTTCTTTCTTCAATCTTTTTTCTTTCTTTTAGAGTTTAAGAAAATTTCCTGTCATGCATCATCATCCTGTTAATATCAGAAGCTGAATCCCTTCATACTGATTGTAGTATAGTGATTTGTTTGATTTATAATATCCTAGTTAATTTTCAGATTAGTTAATTTACATGTTCCTACATCCTAGTTAATTTGTTTATTAAGAAAATGTACATGACCAGCCAATTCACTCTTGGTGACTTGGGGCAGCTTACAAAGATAAAATCTTTGTAACAGAAAAGAAAAGGACAGAAACCAATAAACCCCCATGTCATTCTAGTATGTTAGAGAATATATTAGCAATCCATCTTGAATTTAAATATAGTATATATGTATAGTCCAGCATTGCATCTCATGATGGATTTGGCATATTTAGAGTTAGAAAACTGCTCTCTGAAAATTGCATCTATGTTTAAATTTTTCTTCCCCTATACCCCAAATATTTTATATGTAAGAGCATAAGCTCTTTTTAGTTGTTATCAATAGGTGTTGCTTCTACTTGCAGAGAAAGGAGCAAGAATAAACCTGCTATTTTCATTCTCCCTTAGCTCTTATTCAGAGCACTGAGACTTTGGAATGTCCAAAGGACTTTTGGAATTTTTCTTCCTTTGTATCCTTAGGATACAAAACTGAATATTGTGAGACAAATTATAAATCCACAGTAGCATAGCAAATAAACAAAAACAATTTCAGTAGTTAGTAGACAATAAGTAAATTAACTTAACTATGCATTTAGCTAAATGAAATAGCCACATGGTATATCTAAATAATGAATCCATATTGTGATCAAATTGAAAAAAGAAAAGGCATTGCTATATAAAAATTGTTTTTTATTGTGAATAAATAGAGACTCAAATCAGGATTTCAGAATTTCCAATAACATGAAATATTGTATTAGACCGATTTTCTTTAAAAGGTATATTATAATATTACACTGGAAAAGGTAAAAAAAATATCCACACCCCCAACTAGCTTAGTATAAAAGTTAAGTTTAAAAATTAAGTGGGCAAATCTTTCGAACTTGTCAGAGCACTGAGACTTTGGAATGTCCAAAGGACTTTCGGAATTTTTCTTCCTTTGAATCATTACTATGTAAAAAACCCCTTTTCTCTCTCTATTGTTTTAATCAGTTTTTATTGTGATTAAGCTTTGGTGACAACTTAATGTTTCACTAGAAAGATTATATGAATTTATGGCCTGTTACCAAGTGTTTTTCCAGAGAATATAAAATCCATTATTTGTTAGCTTATGAGTAAAAATATCAGCACATATGGTTTTGTTTCCAAAAAAACTAATAATTTCTGAAGAATTTGAAAACTGCTTCTCAGTCTGTACAGTCAGCAGGGAATTTAGTCCAAAAAATTGCAGTTAGTTTTAAAATAATACTATCTTTGTAAGTGCATGATTACTATTACATCAAGGCTCTGGTGGGTTGCAATTAATTTTACTACCAGTTTGCTCGTGTGCACACACGCTCACACATCTGGGCAGGTGGGTGGAGCCTCCCACCACCACACTACCAGTTTGCCCAATCTGGGACAAACTGGCAGCAACCCATTTCTGCAATAAGTGTATATTTAACATTTTCTGTAATTCAAAATAGTTCACCTTTTTCAAAATAAATAATTATCTGATTGACTGGATTCTTTTTATGGAAATGGTGCTTCCTAACTTAATTTTGTCATAAACCTTATTTTTTGCTTTCATATTTGGTAGGAAAAGTTGTTCCCAATCCTAGCTCATCACCTTCTATACTATATTTATACTATAATACTATTACTATAATAATATTATAGTAGTTTTATGCAGTATCAATATGATACATATTTTGGTTAAAAGCACATCAATTTCACATTTGACAATGAGAAATTATATCTATTTACGCACACATTACTATGTAAAAAACCCTTTTCTTTTCTCCAAATTGAATGGACTGCATCTGGTTCTGGTCCTAATAGTTTCTTTGTTGTCTATTTTGTCAATAGGTAGATCTATTGTTACCTTCACTTAATGATCTAATTTATACATAATGTTATATCAAACATTTTTTGTTTGGAGCTTAGTATAATATGACCACTCATTTCAACATTATATAATAGGTTTTTTTGAATATATTTTTATTATTTTTACATTTAAAACAATGCAGTACTGCGAAGTCGAAGTGACCAAACATTCACATTATATACAGCTAGTCTCAACCATTAACAATTGGCTTACTTAATACATTCTCTATCCTTCTGTCCAGTCACAATATATACAGTTTGTCACCTTGTCTTATACCAATCATAAAATTTGTTCCAGATTTCAAAATATTCTGATTTCCCTTTATTTTTAAGTTCAAGAGTGAGCCTATCTGCTTCCGCACAGGCCAACACTTTTCTGATTATATCTATTTTATATCTATCTATTGTATTTTCTTTTTTCCAATATTGTGCATAAGTTATGCGTGCTGCAGTTAGATCATGTATAATTAGATAAAGTATATCTTTCTTAAACCCCTCCGGTATTATACCTAGGAGAAAAATTTCTAGTTTAAACAAGATTTTCCCCATTTCACCATTTGTTCTAACCATGATTGAATCTTTTTCCAATATTTTTTTGCCTCATTGCACATCCACCACATATGATAAAAAGTGCCTGGTGATATAATAGTTTATTTTTGTTAGCAAATGGTCTCTTGAAATTGCATTTTCCTTATACATTCTGGCTTGGTTAATATATTCCCTTGTCTGAATCCAGAATCCCAGCCTATTACTTACTTATTTCAGTATTCCATTAATGTTTGCAGATCACGTGGGGGGAAAATACACGTACTCCTCGATTTACAAATGGTCACTTAGCAACCATTTGTAGTTTGAAGTTACAACAGATCCCCACAAAGCTAGTTATAACTTGATTTAAAGTTACAATTGCTAAGCAGTCCCATGGTCTGCTTGTGACCAACCACAGACACATTGCAGTGCAATCCCTCACCAATTTCTCCCTCACATCCTGTCCCATTGGATCCCTAAGGGCACTTTGCCTCCTTTGCCATCCCACTTGATTCCACATACTCCTCCCCACCTCAGTTACCAATTGCTTAATTAACTTCTTTGTACCTCAGGTAGGAAGGAGAACAGACCACTCCAATGGCCACATGGCACAATCCCACAAACGGCCATCTTGCCGCCTCAACCCAGTGACCAATGTAACCTAGCGCTTTGTAGTTGCTCTCAGAAAAAGACAGCTGCTTGTGGGATTTTGCCTTGTGGTCCAGTGGTGGGCTTCAAAAATTTTACTACCGGTTCTGTGGGCATGGCAGGGAAAGATACTGTAAAATCTCCATTCGAGGGTAAAGATACTGCAAAATCCTCATTTCCTCCTGATCAGCTGAGCCTCGGAAAGCAGAGAATAGATGGGGGAGGGGCCAGTCAGAGAGGGTATTTACTGGTTCTGCAAACTATTCAAAATTTCTGCTACCGGTTCTCCAGAACTGGTCAGAACCTGCTGAATACCACCTCTGATGTGGTATTCAGCAAAGGAGCATCCTGTCCTCCTTTACTACACCAACTCCTGAGCTCTGTAGATCTTCAGAAGATAAATGACTGGTTTTGAAGGGAGTAGCTGGAGACCCAAGTGGTTGTGGGAACCCAAGGATGGGAAGCAAAGTGTGGGGTTATCCACAGGATGAAAGGGAACTTGGGAGGCTTGAGGCAGGTGAGCTGGTACTGCACTAGGCCTCTCAGGTTTCTGAGGCACTCTATGCTCCATTTAACAATTTGCTCATTCATTTGATTATTAGAGAGAGCAGGGGTGGGGGGGGAGTATTGTAAAAGGGAAGCAGTTCACCTGTACTCACACAGTTTGATCAAGCCATTATTATTTTACTTAAATGTAAGATTAATTCAGGTTTGTAGCTGACTTGTTCAATAAATAGCTAAAATGACCTTGCCTTATTATATGCAAATGATATATATTATAATAATTTTGTGACTACTTATTAATAGGATTGCAATGAGAATGTTGACTTTTTTAAAAAAAAACCTGGAATTAATTAATTTTATTTTCCATTGCATTTTTCTCAAAATATATTGCTTGTTCCTGACATATCATGAAAAAAATGAATTTTAAAGGCTGTATACTTACTTTTGATTGATTTTCATTTTGAGTATAAAATATCATGGCATAAGCAATTATGTTAGTCATTAAGGATCTATAGGATTTTTTGATCATACAATATCAGTTTAATGCAGGCCAAAGCATTAAAATTGGGATGTTGAGGGAATGGAGCCAAAAAAATCATTCATTCATTAGACTAAAACATGAGGTGATGTTTAACTATGAAGTTCACATTGAAAGTTTTGTTTCTGGGGCCTCTTTAAAGAGTGGTAACAAATTCCAAAAAGCACACATGTGAGAGCTCCATCCAAAATATAATTTAGCCATTCAAGAACAGAAAGCAATTTTTCTCAACCTTGGCAATGTTATGATGTGTGGATTTCAATTCCTAGAATTCCCCAGACAACACTGCTCTGGATTATCAGCATTGGACAAAAACAAATGAAAACTATTTTTTCTGTTATAGGATTGTGAGTGGAATATATGTGGTATTTCTTTTCAAATGAACATTCTGACCAAGGCCTCTAAGAATCTTTAAAAGTTTGGAAACAGTTTTAGTGCTTAGATACAATATCCTTCAATATCCACCATTTTAATTCTCTGGTACCTTCAGCAGCTGGACTGGATGTTCATGACATGTTTAAAATACTTCATAAAACATTTACTATGAAATAAACAAAATATTTTAATTCAACTGTGATCTGATGCATTTGCTATGCATGTGAAAGTTATAGGCACTATTGAGAAAAAATAAATTTTAGAAGGAATGAACAATATTTGTGTCTTTAAGTGTATATACAGGTATTTCATGTATCCATTTTTTTTACTTTTCTTTTCTTCAGTTTATACCAGATTCAAAAGCTTTTATTCCAGTTAAAGTAATCAAACAAGGTAATGTGGGATTTTGTGTACTTGTATTTATAGAATAGAAAGAATGTACATGGGAAAAAAATGAGTGTTGCCTATATGCAATTGGAGCAAAAATACATCTGCTTAACTTAAGTATGCTGGAAATATTCTAAAATACCTCTTTCAGCAAATTCAGTTGTTTCAGACAATTCCCCTTAGACTGAGAGAAATCTTGCATTAGTCAAGTCATATAGCAGAGCTTGTCATCCTTGCAGAAAATTAAACAAAATCTGGATTGAGTTTACTTTCCCTACCCCCACCCCCACCCCAAAACACACACAATGGTTTGGCAACAAAGCAGGAATTCCTCCTTATGTAGCCTTAAGGGCAGGAATGAATCAAGGAAGGTTATGCAGAATAACTATCAAAAGCTTTTTGCAAATAAAACTGTACTGATATCAATACATTTACTTTGATTATTCACAAGGTGCTGTGCTCTTTATAAAGTAGGGTATTAAAAACATTCTAGTATCATCTTACAAGTGCTACAGTTTGGTATGTTTCTTTCGCAAACCAAAAAACCTCCCCACTGTTTTCCATTTAATAAATTTGTATACAGCTTTTGAAAGGCCTGAAAGGTAGCAAATGGTGAGACCTATTTTAATTTTGCTTGGGTTCATTATATCAGGAATTCAGAGATCTGATGTTAATTGATAATTAGTCCACCACCAAGTTATTAGTTCCCCTTTCATATAGGTATTTCTCAAACATAGCGTTTTTCCTTCAATTTTAGAAATTCCATTTGCAACATAATCTAACAGGTACATGTTCTGTTATCTCCAAGCACTTTAAACATACTTTGAACCTGGTTTACTCTTGTATCTGCCAAAGCTCTTTCATTAAAATCATCACCTTGATTTTTTAGTGTCCTATCTGGAGTTTCCGAAGTTTCTTTGAGATCCCCATTTTCATTATATAATGTTACATAATACTGAATATTGTATTTCATAATTTCATAAATAAAAATATGTATAATTTAATAAAAACATATCTTATAAGTACCATTCAAAATCTTTCATATCAACCATAATGTGTCAGGTTTATTACATCAAAACAAGTATATAGATTTCTAACAGTTTCATTCCTATTATGTTCACAGTTCTTCAAAATATTACACATCGGACACAGTCTGAAATTCTAAAGAAGTCTCCTTTATCAGGACCAATAATAGGTGATTAAGATAAGTCATTATTTTTTATAAACATTCTGTGGCTTACTTTCACAACTTATTTCTGGGAAGGTCTCAGTCTAAGTGGATATAATAGCTAAATCAATTCTTATTAGTTTGTACTGAATTTATAGTACAAGCAAATGGATCTGTATGAAAAAGAAATTTAAAGTACATAGTTAAGCTTTTCAGTCATTGGTAGTGCCAACTTTGTTGGTAACAGTAATGCTTTATTTTGTTAGCATTATCACAACTTGAATTATATCAAATTTTTATTTTGGGATTCTACTATATCCAGAAAGTAAGTAAAGGGATTTTAAAAAGTTGATGTATTGTAATTACATAACATGTCTCTGGGATGGTAATGGATGCCTCTTATTGGCAGTTATTGAAAAATAACATAATTTTCTATACTTATAAGATGAAACTATAATCCTTTTCCTACCTCTACTTTGCCAGTTGACTGTTTCTACTACTGATACTAATCTCTACATGATTGGAATCTTAGTAACCCTTCTAAATTATTAACTGTTTCATTTATCTGTCCTCTTATGTGTAGTGCACCTTATTGTTCCTGATTTCAATGCAACAAAACAGAAACCGGCATCTTCGCCAAGGTTGGATATATTTGAAAAACCAAAACAAAGTGTAGGTAAGTAGAAAACCTTGGGTGAATAGAATTTTTCTCGCATTCACATAGAAGTGCCATATGTTTAACCAATGTTGCGAAATGGCAGACAAGCTACCAAAATGCCGCATTACTTTCATGGTATGCTAACATCATGTATGAGAATGTACAGAAATTTTTGATATGGTTTTATGTGACAGTTTATTTGGCCTACAATGCTTCTTTCAAATAACTATGATTTTGTTTAGATATATTATTTATTTGATGTTTAGTTTATTTACTATGGATATTGTTATCCTGGAAGACTCAGCAATATGTAGCATAATAAATAAACAATTTCAACCAGAGTATAGATGATAGTGCTGAAGTTACTTATCATTTGTCTTTTTATTTTCTATTATGTGCACAAAGAAAACATTTCCTGTGATAGATGCATTTGGAAAATATATAGGTTTTCAAAAAGCATTTAAATACAGTGTAATTTTTTTAAAGCTTGTATCAGAAAATTTATGTAGAAAAACCTCTGAAAGTATATAAAATAAAATTATTGCCTGGGAAATTTGAAATAAAATTAAAGACCTTCAGGCATATGGCATATTAAGGAAAGTTGAAACTAAATATACATGCACTTTTATTTAGATTGAACATGTGGTAAACCAAAATACAGCTTTAGTAATTTAAGCAGTAAACTAAATCAATGTATACTGATTCAGACAGCCTGACTACGAGTGATAAAACTTATTTGCATATATAGGCGATATATCTTTCCTTTTAAACTAAGAAGTGCATTCTTGCTTTATGCAGCTAAGAACAAAACTCAAAAATGGCTCCCAGAATCAAAGACATCAGAAGTAAAAGAAATTACCTCACAATCCCAGACTGGTGATTATTTTGTTCTTTCTTTCTATATAGTTATTTGAACTTTAATTTTATTTTATTTATATTGAGCTAAAATTACTTTACATTAATCACATCATACATTATTTGAAAGAACATATAGAGAGACATACATTTTCCTGATTTTTAGTGCTCATTTATTCAATTACTTCCAGATAACCATTGAATACACATTAATGTGTTTGTGAAGTTTTGTGAAGTTTTAATTAAAAAAGAAGCAGGATGTATGAGAAGAGAACCAGCCATTCACTTCTCATTCTGTGAGAGAAGAAGGTTTCCTCAAATTGATAAGAAATACAATGGGTGGAGATGAGCATGAGTGATGCCATTTTTTTTCTGATTATCCATAGAATGAGCATTCGATGGAGGTGGAGATCTGACAGCAGGAGAGCAAACTCTTTTCTTCTTTCCAATAAATTTGTCTTCCTTCTCCATGGATTAGGCAGTGCAGCATACAATCCATGGATGGGAACCTATTTTTGTCCATTAGTGTTAGGGAAGACTGCTGGACATATGTCAAAAATAGTTTTCACCCAGTCCCACTGATCAGGCATTATTGAGTCTGTAGGGTACTGTAGGAATTGATGCACTACTTTCAGTTTCTTTAACCAGTAGGTGGAGATCGTGTGTGGGCCAGATGCTATCCAGCTCTTCATATTTCTGACCCACTGTTGGATGCCTGCTGTTAAGGGGTCTGGGATATTGTGGTTCTGGGAAATTAGTGTGGTTTGTTCTCATGTCCTACAGCTACTTTGCACTGGTGTTGTTTGTCTTCTTTCTCCCATATGTTCTTACAGTACTTGTTCATATTGTGACTGGATAATATGGTAGCTAATATGGCCACTTTTGACACTTGATATCAGGATTTGAATCCCAGATGGCACTTACCTTGCCAGTAGAAGTCCTGGGGCAAAGACTCCCTAATATTTTACCTGCCTAGCTCAAATATAAGAGTAATACAAACTAGGATACCATTGTTGGTTTGTATTGTATTAGAAACTAATACAATAAGAGGAATTAGAAACTAATAAGAGAAACTGATGATAAGTGAGCTACTGGGACAAACATAGATGAATGAGAGAAAAATATCTGGAATATACTACAGCAGTAAACCTAACAGATGTACATACTCCCTTCCAAAAATGAATTGAGAGACTAAAATCAAGGCAACTCTGAGAGGTTAGACAGCTGGTAGAATTACAGATGGGTGTGAAGATTTAGGGTAAGATTCAGCTAATGAAAAAAATACAAGAATCTGACTCCTTCTGAACCCTTATATGATAAATTAGTCAGATGAAATACAAGGTTGAGGGATTTGTAACTCATTTGATTACTTCTTGCTTGAAGGCAAACCTAGGAACGACTGTAATCATACAGTCCCCTTGAGTACATATTCTTTCAGAACCTGATTGGACATTTATATGTGATCAAGCTCACTTCACACCCAATTCCAGTAAATTTTGCATTGGAAAAAATTAACATGCCATTTGAACAACTATCTTTTCTAATGCAGATTCCTTGTTCAGAATGGGGTTGTAAGAGGGTCCCTAACTATCAACTCTGGGCCAAATAGCAGTCTGCTGTTGAATCTCAATCTCTCTCTCTCTCTCTCGCTCTCGCTCTCTCTCTCCCTCCCTTCCTCTCTCTCTCTCTCTCTCCCTCCCTCCCTCCATCCATTCGTCCATCCATCTTCATACAGCTATGACTGAACAAAATTTGGAAAGGAGTAAACCTACAGCTCCTGGTGTCTCAAAAGATTCTGCAGTCAATCAAGGTAACATATTCTTTCCATGCTTTATTTTGCTGTTTTGAATTACAAATTAACATGTACTGAACTGAAACAGTGCCACAATGATGAACTGGGTTGTTTTTTTCAGATTATGAGGTGCTATATCATCAATGAATTTCTAATTAAAGCATGGGTCAACTTTTTGAATAATTGTGAGATTGTGCCCCAAATAGTTGCGTAGATAGGGGCATAGTAATAGCATGTAAATACAGCACATTGTATAACATTATTCAGTTTTAATTTGTGGAAATTTATGCATAGAACTGTCAGTGCTATGTTGACAGAAAGTAAGGAAAGGTTTTTTCAATCTGATTCACTTTATATAAGCTGGAAGTATAGTTCATGGCCAATAGTTCTATTAGCTCTAAGTTCTGGGGCCTGTAGTTCTGTCATATCTGGAAAACATCTGGTCGTGAAAGACTGATGAAAAATAATAGTTCTTATAAAAATGGCCTTAACTTTTTTTAAACCTCTGGAAATGAAATTAAATCTTCAAAGTCCAAAAATGAATCATTTAATAAGCTTGTGAATATTTTATAATTATTGAAATATAGTTCAAATGATTATAAAGACTGCTAATCAAAGCCCTCCCCAGTTTATATTCCAGAGAGAAGAGGGTAGTGAAGAAAAAGAGTTTGGGGGAGTGGGTGAAGGACTTGGCCTAAAGCCCTTGATTCCTGTCAATGAAGCATGAATATAGATAGAATATATATATATTAAGTGAACCTGTTTATACAAAAAAAGTTTTTAACAAAAGTTTACCTTTCTCTGTTTAAACGATAAGAAAATGATTGTTCCCCATCTTCAGAAATTTAAAGAATAAGCAACAGAATTTTTGAACTAGAAAAAAATTGATGATAGTAGCAGGTGAAACAGATTTCCCAAGATTAATAACATTTCACTATTTTTGAAGAACAAAAAGATGATTTTTGTATTTATTCAAAGGGACTTATTTCTCAGGAAAATATATTTCCTGTGTCTTTTCCAGGAATATTTCAACAGTAAGATTTTGAAAAATATTCATGTCATCTAATATTTCTTTATTAATTGCTCACTGAAATATTTCCATTTCCTTTATTAAGTGTAACACAGCTTTTGGAGCAATGAAATGAAAACAAAAATTATTATCTAGTGAAACCTGCTTTGTTTGAAGTATGCCATATAATTGGTCACACTCTCTAAAGAAAAGGTGTTACTTACTTTTGATTTCTTTTAGCTCACACCGAAACTGAACTGGAATCTTCAAAACCTAGCAAATCTCCTATGAGTGAAATGCCACTTGACACATTGGGTAAATATTGTTTACACATTGCAAAGCTACTGAATAGTGCTCCTAATATATGTAATACCAACATGATATTTAACTCAATTAAATATCTTGCATTAATGTATCTTTTGATTTTTTTATTATTGCCATCAAGTCTTTTATTATTCTAGAAATCACATAGAATCCCCCCCCTTGACAACCTACTCCTAATCTGATCTCTCAGGTCTTTTAGCAGTGCATTAATCACCATTGTAACTGAGTCCATCTATCTTGTTGTCGTCCTCTTCTTTTTTTTCTTCCACCTTTCCCAGAATTGAAGCCTTTCCTGAGATCTAAATCTTCAAATAATGTGTCCAAAGTAAAATCTTTTGAGCCTGATCACTTATGTTTTGAGATTCTATGGTCTTTGCCATTATTGTCAGCTTTGGTTTTGTGAAGCTGTCTTCAGTACACTGTACACCCTCTGGAATTCATGTTTCATGATAATTTAAAAAAAAAAATTAGTTAAAAGGTAATCTTAGATGAAGATTAACCTATCTTGGAATTGAATCTTTTGCCTTTGCAGGATTTACTACTAATAATATTAGTACTTCATTTATCTCACTTAAAGAAAAATTCTTGGTTTTTCCAAGCCATCTTTGCTAGTAAACTAACAGTGTACAATGCTGTGGCTTTAAGAATGCCATTGAAAAATCTCTAGCAGAGTTTACCCTTGTTTTCTAATTATAGTAATTTTAGTCATCACAATCAATTCCAGTTTGCTTGAAAAAATGAATTGCTTTGTTTTCGTAAAGGAATGGCCATAATCCAACAGACATTAAATATGCTTAATCTCACTGAAATAAATCTTTATCATGATGAATCACTCTGTTGGATTGCAGTAAATATCTTTTTCAATTGCATTTTAACAAAACAAAATGATACAACTCTCAAAACACAAGTTTTTACAAGCTGATGAGCAACAGGGTATTTTATAGATTCACGTATTTGTTTTTATTAGCCATCTTTTTGGAGTAGTATTGGCCATTGGCCTAACCATACACATTGTCCTCTCTTGCCTCCTGTACAGATACTTACAAAAGTAACCTCTACTTACAATCATTTGTACAGTGAATGTTCAAAGATACAATGGCATTATACAAAGGGACTTACAGTATGACCCATGCCTGAAGTTAGGAACATTGCAGCGCGCCTCAATGGGTTGGGAAAGAGAGGTGGGTGAGGGAGTTGTATGCAGTTGCTCACTTTACTGAAGCTCAGAGCTGAGAGACATCAAGCTTGAATGGTTTGGATCTGGGTTGATACTCACAACAAGTATAATTCTTGGTTAACGATGGCAGTTGGGATTGCCAGGATTGCAGTCACTAAGCAAGGCTCAATCACATGACAACTTGCTTTACAACAACATCACTTAGCAATGATCCTAATTGTGGACATAAGTCTGTTTCCCTCAGTCTGATTTAATAAAAATGTTTATACCGTCATTATATAAGCAGAGAGTGTATAAAATATAAGATTATGTCTACCATATGATATCATTAAATCATAAGTATTTTTCAAGATTTGTGAAATCATACAGTGGCTTTTCTTGTTTCATTTTTGTTTGTTTAATATTTAGATCTGCACAAGTTTCTAGGACTTCCAAAAGCAAGACCATCTCTTATGCCTCAAGTGCACACAGAACCATCAGGTAAAAATGATTTATTTTTAATATAATTTTAATATAATTTTAATTATATTTCCCCTTTTAGTCCTAAAACTTCATCTTTATAACATTTAATGTTTTTCTTTAGTGTTAATGATAGATTTAGTCTTTCTATCATAAGTCCTTTAATTGGCATTAAATTATGCCCATGAAGGCTTACTGTAGAAGAGTCATAATTTCTTAATATAAATTTTGTGCTAATGTTTTATTTTTAAAAAATGACAATTTCTTTTATTTTAGTTTCAAAGAAAATACAGCCAGTTCCTTTAGAACTCAAAACACCTGTTCCAAAGACTATACAGACAAAATCAGGTAACTATTTTTCTCCAATATTACATTTGAATAATGCAGTTTTTAAATAAAGCTGTTTTGTATATGTTAAAACAATATTTAGCTAAAGTCACTTCCATTATGAGGACTCTACTTCTGGTTCAGCACCAATATAGCTAAAATCACAGTAAAAAACCCTCATTCTCAGAGTTTACACTTAGGAAGCTTAAAGGCTATTATGGATCATTTTCAAATTGTCTCTGAAGAATTACAGAGTAGAAACGAAAATGCCCTCTCATCAGGTACGGAAATGAAATATATTCCTAAATATAAGAAAGCTATCCTATCTGATTCCGATACAGTATTCAGAGTATGTGCATGCACACACATATCCAGTCTTTGTAACTGGGTTAGATGGATTTCTCTTTATGTTTTGTTAATCAAGCCGTAATGGCATAGTTCACATACATAATACTAAATCATAATGGAGGGGCTTTGCATCATGCTGAGACAAAAGCACAATTCACATTATGGTTTATTATTTTGTATGAGGCACAAAACTCGTATTTAAGCAGCAGGAAGTTGAAGCTGAAAAGAAAGAAAAACAAAAGCTTTTGGGCTCTTCTTGGATAAGGCCTTTTTGGGGAAAGTATTTGTCACTGAATATATCAGAAAGAATTAAAATATTGTGTAGTGGATTTTTTATTTTATAACAGGAAGTGTGTTGTAATTTGTTAAATGAATTTAAATAATATATTTAACTTATTAGAAATGGGCCTCCTCTAAAAAGATAAGGGATCTGATATTAGTTTTGAACTACATGAATATTAAACTAAAAAACATACTTTCTCTCCTGCACAAACAGCAACTTCAGAAAGGTCAATTTTTATGAGAGCATTGACAGAGAGAGGATGTTTTAAACTCACATAATATATGTTTCAGATACTTTCAGCTGAATAATATTGTCAAAAATAAAAATTTTATTGGACAAGAATCTCTAGTTAATTTAGGATAGTTAATCATAAGGCTATTTTTATTGGATTAAAAACATTTTAAAAATTGTCATCATAGATTTAAAGGTGTTTTTTTTAATTTTTTGATCCATTAATGAATTGATGTTTCAAAGAAAGATTTTACTACTTTGCTTGATACTTATTTCAAGTAACTTTTCTTGGTAGACTTCAATAAATATGTCCAAACAACATACTTAAGTGTTTAGTTGTCTGAAATAAGAATGTTATAAAAATTAGTTTCTTCTATAGGAAGCAATTTGGGTGGCCTACTTATTATGAATTTAAACTTTCTATAAAAGATCTCTTTGTTTAAATGGGTATTATATTTTATCAACACACAAATAGTTCGGAATGTATAATCTGAATGTAACTGTAAATAGGATAAATGCAATTGCTTCAGCCAAAAACTATGATTCATGCAATTTTCCTAATAAAAACTCTTAGGTTATGTCCTTTCTTTTGACAAAAAACCATTTATCCAAGTTAGCATGTTTGTAAACGGACTTTAAATTTAATTAGCAACATAAATCAAAAATGTTTTGTGCATACATCAGAAAGAATTTTTAGTTCATCTAACTTTTTTAAAGATTTCCCTATTTTTGACACTTTTTCCTCCAAATATTATAAGAGTGTTGTTGTTGTTGTTGTTGTTGTTGTTTTTTCAAATATATTTTATTCATTTTCACATTCCATTTTACAGTCACTTATATACTGGATATTTGCTATAAAAAAAAAAATAAAAAACAAAAAAAAACCACAACTCATCATTCACAACCCCACCTGACACTTCCATCCTCCATACACCCCATCTTCCCCCTCCAACTTTCC